GTGGGTGGGGGAGGAGAGGAGAGGAAGTGGCTGTTCCTTACCTTGCCCATGCTCGCCCCGCCATGCACTCACCCACGCTCCTCGCCACCACACTACCATACACCACTCACACTACTCACTCCCTCTGCTGTGTTTTCTGCTGTTTTTCGTGTGATTCGTCGCCAGTGCTGTGTATCCGAGTGCCCGAGGCCACTCGAAGCTACGTGGATCAGCATCCCACGTAGGTCACGTCACGTGGGTGTGGCCGATGTCACGTAGACCTACAAAGCCACGTGAGTTACCAGATGTCCCAAGGCCTCATGCTGTGGTCTGCTGCCCGCATCACATCGACGCTACCCACGATGCTGCCCGACTTCATGACGTCACGATGTCTGCTGACGTCACCTCACGATGTCTGCCTGACGTCACCTCGAGATGTCTGTTGACGTCACTGCTGCTGACGTCACCTTGCGACATCACGCCTGACATCACATGATGTCACATCGAGTGTTCTAGTAATTATTTCAGTATTGTCGAGAAGATATATGTCGTGTGTTAATTAATTCCTCTCAGTCAGTGTTCTCACATTTTAGTATGTCTTAGTCAGTTTTATGCGCAGAAAAGCATCATTTGCTAGTTAAGCCATATTGTACCGTATGTACAGCGGTGTGTTTGTAAGTTTTCCGTTGTCCAGTGAGGTCTGTGGTCAGACCCTTGAGTTGTACCACTCAGTCACCCGCCTGACCAGTGTTTGACAGCTGATTTCTCAGCCCTGAGCGTACGAGCCCTCTTGTACAGAAAGCTTTTATGCTCGTCGCTCGTGTTGTTCTGCAGAATCGTACCTGCTACGATTCCCATCGAGATTTGTTTCAATTCACCTCCAGACCGTCAGAGTGCAGTTATATGTAGAGAAACAAGTCTGGGGACGCTTAGACTAACCCCTGCTTATAACTCCAACTGTCGAGAGATGATACTCGTCAAGCCGCAGCCAGGCCTGTCGGCAGGCGCTGTGTCAGCCTCGTGTCACAAGCTTCAGTGAGCAGCCTGCACAAAGATGTCACTTTGACTGCTAGCTCTCTCACTGCAGTCTGGTGTATATGTTACGACTCCCAGATGTTTCGCCCAGTCGTCTCTGCCACGACTCGCTCCACAACTCGCTCCCCGCTCGCCGGCAGTGACAAACCCCAGCAGTGACAGTACCAGTCGAGAAGTGTCCTCCTGAGTCGCTTGCCAGAAGTCCTGCCCAGTTGCCGAGTTTTGTCGACGCCTCACTCGAGGGCACCAGCATGTCGTGCCCCAGGTTGAGTGAAAACCTGCAGCGACTCCTACGATGTCTGCTTCACCGTTCCAGAGGAGACCGTACCCTGTTACGTCACAGCTCAGCCGCAGCGATGTCTCCCGTGTTGCAGTATCTGTCCAGACGCAGGAAGGCGTGCAGTGATACACTTCGACGCTCATTGCCTTTGACCACGATGTTTAGCACACCCCACATGTTTTTTTCTTCCCTCCCTGTAGGAAGTTTTTTTCCCATGTCCATATGTATATATATGTTTTTATTTTGTGTTCTGTGCCCTGTTCCTACGAGAGAGAGACCGAGTTTCTTTTACTACCAGTATTGTCGCGTCGGGACGACGCGCGATAGGTGGCCGAGCGTATGTAGACAGCCTGTACTGTCTGCACAGACAGCCCATGCTGTCTGCCAGCTTAGTTCATATTTCGCGCCACTCAGGTGCTGCCATCTATAGGCCTTGCCACTTCAGTATGCCCAGACTTGCCTCGCTCTCACTCTCTCACACAGCGGCCTAGCAGGAAGTCACAAGTACTCTCAGCTCTCTCTCGTGGGCATGGCCCTGCCCGGGCCATGGGCACAAACACACAAGCCTGTGTAACCCAACACTAGTTATCAATAAAGTAAGAAGCCTCCGAAGAAGTATATCATTAACACCGCTCTACAGCCTACCAAAATAACCCTTCATTATAAATGGTGACAGCGGTGCTTGCAGAAGTTGTGTTTGCCTGGAGAGGAGTAAGAGGTATGAAGTCATCTTCACTTCATCACCCTACACAAGAAGCATCCGTCTCTCAACGAGTTATCCTGATGTCGTGTCTGCACGTTTGAGCATCCAGACACAGGTACAAGCAGGATCCAGCCGAAATTTATCGAAATTCTCCGAGAATTGTAAGTGGCGTCACAGTGACCCCACGCTACAGCGTCCCAGCGTCTCACGCTACAGTATCCCACCGCTGCCACCACTGTTATTTCTGTTCTTGCTGTTGAACAGCGGTTTAGTGCCGATGAAGGTAGCGTAGGTAGCAATGATACGGCCGTGGACTAGATTGGCTTTAATCGGGTAGGAGTGAGTACACAACGGGCAGTGTGAGGAAGTGACCGCAAGCCAGTCCGTGGAGGGGGAGTACTTGTGTACGTCAAGTCGGTCGAGGCGGGAGTGAGAGAGGGTGGACTGTGTGTCCCACCGACCTAGGTAGGCCTACAGAGGGCAGCACTGGACGCCGCGAAATATGAACTAGTCAGAGCAGACGGCTAGGCTGTGTGCTCTGCCAGTACAGGCTGTCTACAGCTGGTGTCATCACCAGCCTGGTGCTGCTGGTGTCATCACCAGCCTGGTGCTGCTGGTGTCATCACCCGCCTGGTGCTGCTGGTGTCATCACCAGTCTGGTGCTGCTGGTGTCATCACCAGCCTGGTGCTGCTGGTGTCATCACCAGCCTGGTGCTGCTGGTGTCATCACCAGTCTGGTGCTGCTGGTGTCATCACCAGTCTGGTGCTGCTGGTGTCATCACCAGCCTGGTGCTGCTGGTGTCATCACCAGCCTGGTGCTGCTGGTGTCATCACCAGCCTGGTGCTGCTGGTGTCATCACCAGTCTGGTGCTGCTGGTGTCATCACCAGCCTGGTGCTGCTGGTGTCATCACCAGTCTGGTGCTGCTGGTGTCATCACCAGCCTGGTCCTGCTGGTGTCATCACCAGTCTGGTGCTGCTGGTGTCATCACCAGCCTGGTGCTGCTGGTGTCATCACCAGTCTGGTGCTGCTGGTGTCATCACCAGTCTGGTGCTGCTGGTGTCATCACCAGCCTGGTCCTGCTGGTGTCATCACCAGCCTGGTGCTGCTGGTGTCATCACCAGTCTGGTGCTGCTGGTGTCATCACCAGTCTGGTGCTGCTGGTGTCATCACCAGCCTGGTCCTGCTGGTGTCATCACCAGCCTGGTGCTGCTGGTGTCATCACCAGTCTGGTGCTGCTGGTGTCATCACCAGCCTGGTCCTGCTGGTGTCATCACCAGCCTGGTGCTGCTGGTGTCATCACCAGTCTGGTGCTGCTGGTGTCATCACCAGTCTGGTGCTGCTGGTGTCATCACCAGCCTGGTCCTGCTGGTGTCATCACCAGCCTGGTATGTACAACATGGTTTACACACTCCATAGAGTGAATACTTCCTATTTGTTCTGTCTGCTTCCTGCGAGTCGTGTCTGCCTCCTGTCAGTCGTGTCTGCTTCCTGGGAGTCGTGTCTGCTTCCTGTGAGTCGTGTCTGCTTCCTCTCAGTCGTGTCTGCTTCCTGGGAGTCGTGTCTGCTTATTTGTAGTCTTGTCTGCTTCCTGTGAGTCGTGTCTGCTTCCTGTGAGTCGTGTCTGCTTCCTGTGAGTCGTGTCTGCTTCCTGTGAGTCGTGTCTGCTTCCTGGGAGTCGTATCTGCTTCCTGGTTCTGCCTTTGTTTAAGCATTGATTCTATTTTTGTTCCTCTGATTTACACGCCATTCCTTTGTCTCCTGATTTATTCACCGTTCTTTTTCCTCCGATTTAGCCTCTATTCCTTGTTTTTCCTCAGCTCCTCTTTTTTCTTTATGTGTGTGTGTGAGTGACCCTATGTACGTATTGTTAACATTATGTGAACCAAGGCATGCATGTGTACCCTGTATAAACATTACCAGGTTTCAGGTACATATTCTCCAATGTTTATTTATATGGTTTTCAAGTTCTTATTAAAGGCCGGTCTGTACAATAACATTAGATCCCTGGCGTGTGTGGGTCTCGCCACCACTGAAATAAATTATCATCCCCAGGATCGGTTTTTCGGCAGAGATGGTTTTTGTTCCGCACCTGGATGTGATTCATGATATCGTTGCTCATGGTTTACGCACGAAATCTATCTGCAAAGTTCGGTCTGACACGTAACTTTTCCCTCAGAGATACTCGTATGTTATTCTCCAATATTTCCCGTAATTCGATCCTCCTGCTGTTTACGTCATGAGAATCGCTTATAAGAGCATAGTCAAGCTTCCTCATATCCATGGATTCTCAACTCGCAGGTAAACAAAAGGATTTTGGACTCGTGGATTCCCAGCTGTGTGTGTGTGTAGGGGGGAATGGTGATGTAGATGGGTGTATGTGGGTATGGGTGTGTGGGTGTGAGGCCCCCACGATAACCCATTTTGAAGCAAGCTAAAGGCTCGACAACTTTCCCAAGGTGATATCAAGGCCCCAACTAAGCAATGTCTATGAAATCGTCAAGAAACTCAACCACTGAGTGGGTCGCCATATGATATAGACCCGCGTCAGATCTTTCCCTATAAACCAGCCTAAAGTGTGTGTAACCAGACTAAAGAAACTAGCACCAGGCTGGCACAGACGTTATAAATGGAACAGTTGAAACTCCCCCCATCCCTGGGACGACAACTACTCATCTATGGGAAGAAAATCTCACCCATACCTTAGCAAAATATGTGAAGCGTACTGGGAACTGAAACGTGGACTTTACAATTATAAATCCATGACGGTACCGACTTAACAAAGCTTCCACAGCTTTAACGTTGTTAGCACACAGAGCAAGTGAAAACTTTACGCAATGTTTCTCCTACACATAAGGCTTTATCAAATCTGATAAAATTTGAAAAAGATGTCTACTGCGAGGGCGAAACGTCGTATAAATAAAGTTTCAAATAGCTCATTTTGTATTTATCAAATTCAGTTTGTCAGTGCCTCCATCTCCTAGCACCTTCATAATCACCACAGTTATGATATTTGTACCCCAGCTGGCACTAGTACCCCACCTGGCACTAGTACCCCAGCTGGCACTAGTACTCTAGCTAGCACTAGTACCCCAGCTGACACTAGTACCCCAGCTGGCACTAGTACTCTAGCTAGCACTAGTACCCCAGCTGGCACTAGTACCCCAGCTGGCACTAGTACTCTAGTTAGCACTAGTACCCCAGTTGGCACTAGTACTCTAGCTAGCACTAGTACCCCAGCTGGCACTAGTACCCCAGCTGGCAATAGTACTCTAACTAGCACTAGTACCCCAGCTGGCACTAGTACCTCAGCTGGCACTAGTACCCCAGCTGGCACTAGTACCCCAGCTGGCACTAGTACCCCAGCTGGCACTAGTATTCTTGCACTAGCACCTCTCGTCTCTCTTGTGCCAGACTGGAACTAGAAAGAGACACACAGAGAATAGAAATCCACATAAATGATTAGAAAGAGAAGATGTGTGGAGAAAATCCAACAGTGAGAGAGAGAGAGAGAGAGAGAGAGAGAGAGAGAGAGAGAGAGAGAGAGAGAGAGAGAGAGAGAGAGAGAGAGAGAGAGAGAGAGAGAGAGAGAGAGAGAGAGAGAGAGAGAGAATGCAGAGACAAAGACCATTACATTCAGGTCAGTCAGCAGTAACAATGCACGTCACCATCACATCACTCAGGACAGACAATAACACACACAAAAGCGCCATCATGAACCTCCCACACACAAGTAATAATACTAAGACTTTCAATGGGAGGTATATGTTGACGCCCAGTCACGTTAACCTTCATGGAGATGTTTGTAAGTGTGCACGAGAGAGTGCACACTTTGAACATTTACTTAGAATTATGTGAGTCATTCAGGACTAGAATTAATGGTGTACAGAACGGGCAAGCTGACGGGCAATTTTTTGTCGACGAACTGTATCGTCAGCACAGCAGGCTTTTTCACTCGAATACCGGAACATTGAAAGAGATGATTTTAAAGTCTTTTGGCCCTTCGTTTTCTACCAGCTCTTCAAAACTTGAGGGACTGAAAGCCTTAAAATTAAACTTTACACTTCCTCCAGCATCTCCAGTGCGAAAGTCGCTTCTGTACTCGACTGAAGAAACCTGTGCAGGCGAAACGTTTGGGCATCAATGATAACCAAGTGTTGTCCGTGTCTTACTACCAAGAAGAGTGTTGGAGGCTCGATCTTCCGTCCTTCCGACATATCACTCTCAAAGTCGTTCGTTCCGGAGTTAACGATGATTCCACAATATCAGTCCCAAGATTAATTAAAACTAATAAGATTATCCTCGTAGAAAATGTAATTCTTACCCATGTAAACATCCATACGTTATCATATTAACGCCTAAACTAAATCTTGAAGCCAAATTAGAGGACATTGCTTGCATTCAAAGAAATAATTAATTGCCGCAATTTACGGCGAACTGAGAGAAGTTTATCTTCATAATGCAAGACTTGGTTCAAGACGTGAGCCGTAATATCCCGTAAAGCCTGGTGCTTAGGGTCACTAGCCTCGCATATGTCATAGTTACAGCCACATTACAACGTAGTACCTTATTAAGACAGTCTAGGGTCATGTTAAGACAGTCTAGGGTCATGTTAAGACAGTCTAGGGTCATGTTAAGACAGTCTAGGGTCATGTTAAGACAGTCTAGGGTCATGTTAAGACAGTCTAGGGCCATGTTAAGATAGTCTAGGGTTATCTTAAGACAATCTAGGGTCATGTTAAGACAGTCTAGGGTCATGTTAAGACAGTCTAGGGTCATGTTAAGACAGTCTAGGGTCATCTTAAGACAATCTAGGGTTATGTTAAGACAGTCTAGGGTCATGTTAAGATAGTCTAGGGTCATCTTAAGACAATCTAGGGTAAATCATACCACGGGCGGGATTTGAACCCGCAGTCAGAGAGTCTCAAAACTCCAGACCTTCTCGTTAGCCACTGGACCAGCTGGTCCAGTGGCTAACGCGACGGTCTGGAGTTTTGAGACTCTCTGACCGCGGGTTCAAATCCCGCCCGTGGTATGGTTTGTTTGCAATCGTGTCATTACGATTTCGTGAGTCACAATCTAGGGTCATCTTAAGACAATCTAGGGTCATGTTAAGACAGTCTAGGGTCATGTTAAGACAGTCTAGGGTCATGTTAAGATAGTCTAGGGTCATGTTAAGATAGTCTAGGGTCATGTTAAGACAGTATAGGGTCATGTTAAGACAGTCTAGGGTCATGTTAAGACAATCTAGACTATAGGGTCATGTCAATCTCCAGGTAAGACAGTCTAGACTCTAGGGTCATCTTAAGAAAGTCCAGGGTTATGCTAGGACAGTCCAGAGTCATGTTAGGACAGTCCAGGGTCATGTTAAAACAGTCTAGGATCATGTTAAGATACAGTTCATGGTCATCTCACCTCTCTCCCTCACTTATCTGTCATTTATCTTCCTCCTCCTCCTCCTGCCATTTTCTTTCCCATCCTCCCGTTCTATTCTCCACATCTCCTTCCCCTTCCACTCCTCTCCCCCCTCCTTGCTTCTTCCATCCCTCTTCCATCACGTTTTATCTCCCTACACTATTTCCCATTTTCCTCCCTGATATCCACGTCGCTCCGCTGGTCAGGTCAACTAACTCTGCTTGACAAAAAAAGTGTTATATATATATATATATATATATATTATATATATATATTATATATATATATATATATATATATATATATATATATATATATATATATATATATTATGTATATTTATATTATATATATATATTATATATATATATATATATATATATATATATATATATATATATATATTATGTATATATTTATATATATATATATATTATGTATATATATATATATATATATATATATATGATATATATATATATATATATTTATATATATATATATATATTATATATATTATATATATGAATATTATGTATATATATATATATATATATATATATATATATTACATAATATTTCATTCCTTTATACGTATGTGTATGGTTATGTACGTCTGTGTGTACGTCTGTACGTGTTTACATACGTCTATATACCCATTCGATTGTGCGTTCAAAATTCTATACTCTTGTGCGTCCGTAATGCTATACGAGTGTGCGTCTATATGTCTGTGGCCTCGTGCGTACGAGACTGGCGTAACTCGTTCATCAAACACACACACACAGCGGGCGCCTGTGAGGAGCGGGGTCCCACAGGGGTCAGTCCTAGGACCAGTGTTATTTTTGATATATGTGAATGACATGATGGAAGGGATAGACTCAGAAGTGTTCCTGTGCGCAGGTGATGTAAAGTTAATGAGGAAAATTAAATCAGATGAGGATCAGTCAGAACTACAAAGATCCCTGGACAGGCTGGACACCTGGTCCAGCAACTGGTTTCTCGAATTCAACCTTGCCAAATGCAAAGTCATGAAGGTTGGGGAAGGGCAAAGAAGACCGCAGACAGAGTATAGGCTAGTTGGACAAAGACTGCAAACCTCGCTCAAGGAGAAAGATCTTGGGGTGACCATAACACCGAGCACGTCTCTGGAGGCACACATCAATCAGATAACTGCTGCAGCATATGGGCGCCTGGCAAACCTGAGAACAGCGTTCCGATACCTTAGTAAGGAATCGTTCAAGACACTGCACACTGTGTACGTCAGGCCCAAACTGGAGTGTGCAGAACCAGTTTGGAACCCACACCTGGTCAAGCACGTCAAGAAGTTAGAGAAAGTACAAAGGTTTGCAACAAGGCTAGTTCCGGAGCTCAGGGAAATGTCCTATGATGAAACGTTGTGGGAAATCGGACTGACGACACTGGAGGACAGGAGGGTCAGGGGAGACATGATAACGACATACAAAATACTGCGTGGAATAGATAAGGTGACAGAGACAGGATGTCCCAGAGAGGGGACACAGAAACAAGGGGTCACATTGGAAGCTGAAGACTCAGACGAGTCAGAGGGATGTTAGGAAGCATTTCTTCAGTCACAGAGTCGTCAGGAAGTGGAATAGCCTAGCAAGTGATGTAGTGGAGGCAGGAACCATACGTAGCTTTAAGAAGAGGTATGACAAAGCTCAGGAAGCAGAGAGAGGACCTAGTAGCGATCATGAAGAGGCGGGGCCAGGAGCTGAGTCTCGACTCCTGCAACCACAATTAGGTGAGTACAATTGAGTACACACACACAGAAGTTCCTCACCACCACAGACCCTCCCCCCCCCAATAAAAAAAACAGTGTTGGAGAGGAAACTGAAAATGGTTCATCAACGCTGATGGAATAACGAATAAATGGGAGTGGCACAAAAGAGTCAAACAGGCATCACCAGATATCATAGCTCTCACAGAAACCAAGCTCACAAGAATGAAAACAGATGCAATCTTTCCAACAGGATATCAGATCCTGAGGAAAGACAGAGGGAACAGAGGAGTGGAGTTGCTCATCAAAAACCAATGGGAGTTTGATGAGCTGGAGAGAGAGGAGACAGAAGAGAAGCAAGAGACTATACAATAGGAACACTTCAGTCTGGAGGTCCCAAGGTGGTAACTGCAGAACAGCAGGAAGCCAAGGCAAAAGTATGATAAGAGTAACAGAGCGATGGTTGACACACTGGCTGAAGTGTCCAGAAGGGCTCATGTCAGCAGGGTAAAGCTGCTGATTGTGGGTGACTTCAGTCACAAAGAAGTCGACTGGGAGAACCTGGAGCCACATGGGGGCCCGGAAACGTGGAAGGCTAAGATGATGGAGGTGGTATTGGAAAACCTCATGTACCAACACGTAAGGGACACTGCCAGAGAGAGAGGACTGGACGTAGTATTCACTTTGAGTAGTGCAGATATTGAGGATATATATGAAAAATCCCTCGGGGCCAGTGACCACGTGGTTCTGAGCTTCGAATACATAGAGTTACAAGTGGAGAGGGAAGCGGGAAGGGCAGGATGAATAAAGTCAAACTACAAGAGAGAGGACTACACAATCATGAAGACTTTCCTGCACGGGGTTCAATGGAACAGAAAACTGCATGGAAGTCAGTAAATGAGATGGAATATGTGATAACAATATGCAAGGAAGCTGAGGAGAGGTTTGTACCCAAGGGTAAGAGAAATAACGAGAAAGCCAGGATGAGTTCTTGGTTTACCCAAAGGAGTAGAGAGGCCAAAACCAAGTGTGCTAGAGAATGGAAGAAGTATAGAAGGCAAAGGACCCAGGAGAATAAGGAGAGCAGTCGTAGAGCCAGAAATGAATATGCACAGGTAAGATGGGGGGCCCATCGACAAAACGAAAATGACATAGCAGTGAAAGCCAAATCTGACCTATAGCTGTTGTACAGCCACATCAGAAGGAAAACAACAGTCAAGGACCAGGTAATTTGGCTGAGGAAGGAAGAAGGGAAGATCACAAGAAACGACCGAGAAGTATGTGAGGAGCTCAACATGAGATTCAAAGAAGTGTTCACAGAAGAGACAGAAGGGACTACAGAAACACGGAGAGGTGAGGTACACCAAGTGATGAACACAATACATACAACAGAGGAAGAAGTGAAGCGGCTGCTAAGCGAGCTAGATACCTCAAAGGCGATGGGGCTGGAAAACATCTCTCCATGGGTCCTGAGAGAGGGAGCAGAGGAGCTATGTGTGCCACTAACAACAATCTTCAACACATCTATCGAAACAGAGCGACTACCTGAGGTATGGAAGACAGCAGACGTAGTCCTAATTTTTAAAAAAGGAGACAGACACGAAGCATTAAACTACAAACCAGTGTCACTGACTTGTATAGTATGCAAAGTCATGGAGAAGATTATCAGAAGAGTGGTGGAGCACCTAGAAAGGAATGAGCTTTTCAACGACAACCATCACGGTTTCGGGGACTGGAAATCCTGTGTCACAAACCTACTGGAGTTCTATGACAGAGTGATAACAATAAGACAAGAGAGAGAGGGATGGGTAGATTGCGTTTTCTTGGAGTGTAAGAAGGCGTTTGACACAGTTCCACAAACGAGAGTAGTGCAAAAGCTGGAAGACCAGGCAGGGATAACAGGGGAGGCACTACAATGGTACGCGGAGAGGTGTCAGAGTGGGCGCCTGTGATGAGCGGGGTTCCACAGGGGTCAGTCCTAGGACCGGTGTTGTTTCTGGTATTTGTGAACGACATGACGGATGGAATAAACTCAGAAGTGTCCCTGTTTGCAGATGATGTGAAATTGATGAGAAGAATTCAGTCGGACGAGGACCAGGCAGGACTACAAAAGGATCTGGGCAGGCTGCAGGCCTGGTGCAGAAACTGGCTCCTGGAATTCAACCCCAAGTGCAAAGTCATGAAGATTGGGGAAGGGCAAAGAAGACCGCAGACGCACTACAATCTAGGGGGCCAGAGACTACAAACCTCACTCAAGGAGAAGGATCTTGGGGTGAGTATAACACCGGGTACATCTCCTTTGGCACACTTTAACCAAATAACTGCTGCAGCATACGGGCGCCTAGCAAACCTAAGAACAGCATTCCGGCACCGTGTACGTTAGGCCTATACTGGTGTATACAGCACCAGTTTGGAACCTACACTTAGCCAAGCACGTAAGGAAATTAGAGAAAGCGCAAAGGTTTGCAACAAGACTAGTCCCGGAGCTAAGGGGTATGTGCTACGAGGAGAGGTTAAGGGAAATCGACCTGACGACACTGGAGGACAGAAGAGATAGGGGAGATATAATAACGACATATATAAAATACTGAGAGGAATCGACAAGATGGACAGAGATAGGATGTCCCAGAGGTGGGACACAGCAGCAAGGAGTCACAGCTGGAAAATGAAGACCTAAATTAATCACTGGGATGTTAGGAAGTATTTCTTTTATCACAGAGTTGTAGTGATGTAGTGGAGGCAGGATCCATACATAGCTTTAAGAAGAGGTATGATGAAGCTCATGGAGCAGGAAGAGTGACCTAGTAGCGGCCAGTGAAGAGTCGGTGCCAGGAACTGTGACTCGACCTCTGCAACCACACTGAGGTGAGCACAACTAGGCGAGTACACACACACTAACATGTTAATAACACGCTCCTACTGACAGGACTTCCCTATTACTCAACTCATCCAGGTAATAACTGTGCATTAAACCAATCAAGCGCTTTAATTAAAAGAGAATTAGCAAACATGGAGTGATTACTGAATTAACTTTGTCATTCCTGCCGCTCTTTACAAGTCTTGTGAATTACGGTCTTGGGTAAATATGTACAGAAAAAAATGACTTTGGCTTCATAAGTACTGATGGAAATTACTCTGGCTTGTCAACTTTAGTAATTGATACGTTACTTGATAACTCCAGCGTTAGTTGGTAACTCCAGCGTTAGTTGGTAACTCCAGCATTAGTTGGTAACTCCAGCGTTAGTTGGTAACTCCAGCGTAAGTTGGTAACTCCAGTGTAAGTTGGTAACCTCAGCGTTAGTTGGTAACTCCACCGTTAGTTGGTGACTCCACCGTTACGTATCTTTACTCCGAAACGTTTCGCCTACACAGTAGGCTTCTTCAGTCAAATATATAGGCAGCAGTAGTAGTGAAATAAAGATAATGTAATCAGTCCATCACTCTGGTGGCCTGGTGGTTAACGCTCTCGCTTCACACGGCGAGGGCCTGGGTTCAATTCCCAGCCAGAGTAGAAACATTGGACGTGTTTCTTTCCACCTGTTGTCTATGTTCCCCATCAGTAAAATGGGTACCTGGGTGTTAGTCGACTGGTGTGGATCGCATCCTGGGACACTGACCTAATTTGCCCGAGATGCTCAGCATAACAAGTGGCTTTCTATGTAGTAGTATGTCATTGTTGTCAGCTAGGACTGTATACCTTGTACATGTACTTGTAGTAAATAAAGATTATTATTATTATTATTATTATTGAAGACGTGGTTTGAGGTGGTCAGTCCCCCTCCAGCGTTAGTATTTATTATTATTTGTTAGTATAACAAGCAGTGCGTTCGTTGTTAACATTTGGTAACGTAAATATAGTATCCGAGAAGCAACTGTAGAGACTATATAAAACGTTACCTATCAAGGTACGTTCCTTGATACCTTAGCATTAAAGTTGCTCTTCTCTTAACCGGATCTTCTCAAGGGAGGTTCCTTGATACCGGTGAAGAGTTCTTGATCCAAGAATATGACCTGTGTTCCCATTCCTTGCATAGAATCCAAATGCCTTTAATTCTCCCATCATACGCGGTAGGACCCATATTTGTTTAGTGCTCCCCATTAATTTAATAATAATCATCATGGTTCGGGTCAGCTTCCCACAGGTGACGTTCGACCTCCTACTGCTTTAGCGCTCCCCGATAATGTAATAATAATAATGTCTCAAGTCTACCACCCTCAGGTGACGTATAACCCCCCATACAGGTTTAGCGCTTCTCATCAATATAATAAAAGTGGGCCCGGCTGAAAATTGCCTTCAGCACCATCACACACAACAGCCATTTAACTTGACTGTTGTTAGGACAACAGGCAACACAGACCTGTTATTAGGACTGTTTAATAGCGCCAGTCTCGTTCAAAGTAATTAACCAACAGCAAAATTGCAATACGGGGTTTTTGTTTGGCGGTGTAACACACACACACACACACACACACACACACACATGATAACGACATATAAAATACTGCGTGGAACAGACAAGGTGGACAAAGACAGGATGTTCCAGGGAGGGGACACAGAAACAAGAGGCCACAATTGGAAGTTGAAGACACAAATGAGTCAGAGAGATAGTAGGAAGTATTTCTTCAGTCATAGAGTTGTAAGGCAGTGGAATAGCCTAGAAAATGACGTAGTGGAGGCAGGAACCATACACAGTTTTAAGACGAGGTTTGATAAAGCTCATGGAGCGGGGAGAGAGAGGGCCTAGTAGCAACCGGTGAAGAGGCGGGGCCAGGAGCTAGGACTCGACCCCTGCAACCACAAATAGGTGAGTACACACACACACACACACACACACACACACACACACACACACACACACACACACACACACACACACACACACACACAAAGGTTTGCAACAAGACTAGTCCCGAAGCTAAGGTGTCCTACGAGGAGAGGTTAAGGGAACTCAACCTAACAACACTGGCGGACAGGAAGGACAGTAGAGGATATGATAACGACATATAAAATACTGAGAGGAATCGACAACGTGGACAGACAGGATGTTCCAGAGATGGGACACAGCAACAAGGGGTCACAACTGGAAGATGAAAATTCAGATGAGTTACAGGGTTGCTAGGAAGTATTTCTTCAGCCTTAGAGTTTCCAGGAAGTGCAAAAATCTGAAGTTATGTAGTGGAGGCAGGATCCTTACTTAGCTTTAAGAAGAGGTAGGATAAAGCTTTTGGAACAGGAAGAGAGTGGACCTAAAAGCTACCAGCGAAGAGGCAGGGCCAGGAGATGAGACTCATCCCCTGCATCAACATATAGGCGAGTACATACATAGGCTTGCACACTGTGTACACAGCTAAAGTCTACATGAAATATAACCACGATACGGGTGGGATTGAACTCGCGGCTAGTGAGCCGTAAAACTCCAGGCCAGTGCGTAAACCACTGGGCCAGCTGACTACAATAAGATTCATCCATCTAGGTATATTTCGACACTTATATACCTATATTTATATACATAGTTGGATGAACGTTATTGTAGCAAGCTGGCCCAGTGGCTTACGCGCTGGCCTGGAGTTTTACGACTCAAATGCCGCGAGTTCAATCCCCACCCAAACCTTGGTTTGTTTGCAATCGTGTCAATACGATTTCATGAGTCCACATGAATTCAGTTGACAGAAAGCAACTGACAGCGGTGAGTAATACAGGAAATTGTGCCCCAGTATCTAAGACAGGCCAGACAGGAAACACCAAACTTCCGTCCATTGTCACTTGACATGCGTGAGTTTACAAAATCTAGGTTTGAGTTGAGTTAGTAAGAAACACATTCAGCACTTGACTATCTTCATTGCAGAAAAATTTCGCTTGTGCAACAGGCTTCGTCAGTCTGATACTTGAGAATATAACACCGAAGACAATGGAAGTGACATTTCTTTTTACGTCAGTCATCCAGCCTTTGGTAGTAGGTGGTCAGTCCCTCGAGCATCCTACCAAGGCTGAGGGACTGATCGTCAAAACTACTGCTGTCTCTAATGTTATATTCATCTGAAAGTCTGTTCTGCAAGCGGAACGTTCCAGCAGTGAGACCCAAGTGTTGATCACATGACTCGTGCATCAACTTGTCATAATCAAATGTATACAGTGAATAATCTTTCTTAGGTTTAAGAGCCCTTGAGCAGCATCAGTGCTCAGCGCTCAACACAGTAAACAATAATATTACACAAATAACCCGCACATATGAGAGAGGAGCTTACGACGACGTTTCGGTCCGACTTGAACTATTTACAAAATCACACTAACGGTAAAGAGTGAGGGAGTCAATTTAGGGAAAATTACGGGATCAAGAGGGGAAGAATAGCTTACAAGACTTCTCACTTAAACACACATTTCTCCGGTTATTAAAATCCATCTTAAAAGAAACATTAGTACAAACACACACTTATTTAATATTAACAAAAACTTTGTAATGGTGTAAAAATTTACGCCTTAGTAAAAAAAAATTGAAATCACAGTAAACAATTTCCTGAAAGATCACCGAGGTCCCAGCGGTACCTCGGTGAAATTTTTATTGTAATGTGTTCAACTCACAAGCGAAAGGAATTGGGTGTGATTCCAGGGAGGGAATAGATCCATAGGCAATTATATTCATGCCTGTTTCCTCATGTTTACTTGACATGAAATAGGTAACTGGATGTTACCCATTTGTTGTGATAAGTTGCAATGAATATTTAGGTTATGTTTAATATCGTAACAACGACATTGCAAACAAACCACGGAACGTGTAAAGATGGAACCCACTTGCCATTGGTTCAATCCCAAACCGTTCCGTGGTTTTATATTGGATATGTTAGGTTAGGATGATTATGTTAAGTTAACCGGTTAAGTTTCTATATCATCGACCACATAATGTTCATTAAGCTTACTTCTCACCTGTTCACCACATAATGTTCATTAAGCTTACTTCTCACCTGTTCACCACATAATGTTCATTAAGCTTACTTCTCACCTGTTCACCACCAGTGAACTATACTTTAATCACTAATATATGGCTTAAAGTAAACTCTGCTGGTATATACATCATGTGTATATACCAACAAAAGACCTACCATGGCAGGGTCTGGCGCCGTCAGGACCTGGCAGAAAGAGAGAGACCAAGCGTCTGGCGAGGAAGATGGAAACTTGCTCGAGAGTAAGCATCTGTCCCGACCCCACCGGACACTCCACTCTCAGCGCCTCTCCGTAGAAGTAATGGTACCTGTGGGGAAGCCGTGGTTATGGCTGATTCAATTCCTCATTGAGAATTGTTCAACATGTTTAAATCACTCTTGCGATTTAAACATGTTGAATATTTAAATCTATACCTCCAGTCTGAGGTTCTACCTAGCTGTGAAACAGCACTACTGACCTCTTAAGGGAAGTGATGATGAGGAAATTCATTGGGACCCAGATCGGACCACGCCAGTTGGAGTTACCCCCGAAGAGATACGTGTTGGACTCCCCAGAAACATAAGACACCTCATGCCTCGCTCCTCCCACCTCCAGCACGAAAGGTGAATCCTACCGAAGAGGAATAGGGAAGAATGGCAGTCAAGTGATAGAGACGTAATTATTGGTCCACTTGTATTCTGACGCAGTGTGTCTCCATCCTTGCGCATCTGGTGATTTAGAATTATTAAACTGAAGGGACTGAACATCTATCAAACTTTAGGAACTGGATACCTTCTATCGAACCCAAGGGACTGGATACCTTCTATCAAACCTAAGGGACTGGATACCTTCTATCAAGCCTAAGGAACTGGATACCTCCTATGAAACCTAAGGGACTGGATACCTTCTATCAAGCCTAAGGGACTGGATACCTCCTGTGAAACCTAAGGGACTGGATACCTTCTATCAAAATTACCCCTCTGCTTCTTCCAATGTATCCATTTTATATTCTCCGTATTGGACTAAGGAAGCCATTACTTGGCTTCGTCAGTAAAAATATCCAGGTCTTATTCAATAACATGTCGGTATTGTCGGTATAAATGAGGCTCAAAATTCGTGCGAGATCCTTCAGCGCAACAGGGACCTACTTCGTGTGTCTTAGGAAGGAACCTACTTCGTGTGTCATGGGAAGGGACTTACTTTAATTTGTATATATTGAACAAAGACCTATCTTACTATGTGTATCTTGGAGACGGGACTACTTTACCTCGTGTACCTTGTAGAGTGAATTACTTACCTTGTGTACCTTGGAGAGGGACCTGATGCCGTGAGGGGAGAGGAATTCTTCCTCATCCAGAAGGTAACGAAGGAGCCGCAGCAGCTGCTCCTTCGTGGGTACCGCCAGCAGCATCCTGTCTGACCCTTCCTCGCTCAGGAAGGTCACCTGCAACATGAAGTTGTACGAAGAAGCAGGGGAAGTTGTCTGACGGCCAGGGAAATTGTCCGAGGGACAGAGAAGTTGTCTGTGAGAAAGGAAAGTTGTCTGGGGGATAGGGAAGTTGCCTGAGGGACAGGGAAGTTGCTGCAGTGATAGGAAATGTTACATAAAAGCATATTAAGTTCTTGGTAGTTATCAGAAATGCAAATAAAGTATCTGATAAAAATGCAAGAAAAAGTTGTTAGTAATTAAGCAAGGGTAAATGCTGGTAGAAAGGTAAGAATTTGGGGAAGAGGGTAAATAAACAGGGAAGACTGTCAAGTAGAGAGTCAGGGTTAGTTGTTAGTAGAGAACCAGGACGGGGTTGTTAGTATAGAAGCAGGAGGGGGTTGTTAGTAGAGAACCAGAGGGAATTGTTAGTAAAGAACCAGGGCAGGTTACTAGTGGAGACATTGTATTTTTCACGTATATAATAAAAATTAAGGAGGAAAACCTACCCTGGAGGCGAGGTCAGGGCGGTTCTTAATGAACCATTTGGTCCTCTTGTAGAACCCTGAGAGTGATCGTAGCTCCTCCTTCGCCAGTACCAGCACAGCGAACATAGGTACCAGTCCCACCACCGACCGTACCTGTGCGAACAAAACACACACACACACACACACAAATGAATACAGATAATTGGATACCCATATTAATTCACACTTTAAACTATAGACACTCAAAAGCACTGTTAATTTTTATTAAGCTTCTAAAAAACTGTGATAATGCAGAGTAAAAGCCTTGAGTTAAATACTTTCGGTTTTATGTAAACAATCCCAGAATATCAAATTTATTGACTAGAGTCACTTTCAGTTAAAAAATTAACCGAGAAAATGTACAACTATGGATCGAGGGGCAACGCATTATGACCCTTGTGGGTTTAGCGCTTAGTTATAATTATAATAATAGGATTATAATAATATGGATTAAAGGGATACTTAACAGGAAAGAAAAAACTGAGTGACTGTTCGGGAAGAGGTGTCGTGGAGATTTTTTAAGAGGGGGGTTTCCACTAGGTCATTTGCGGGGCCCGGTACTTTTTCTTGTGAAAGTGCAAAAAAAACCAAACATGGGAACTTGAATGTAGCTTCTAGGCTTCGTGATGCAATCAACCATCGGGGATTTTTGGCAGTGTTGCAAAAAAGGGAGGAGATCCAAGAAAAAATACCATCACTTGAAGCGCCTTTCCCAATGGGGCTTCATGTGAATCATACTTGCTTGGACCTCCTTTTTTTTCTGCATTTAAAAAGTTTAAGGGGGTACAACATTTCAAAGAAAAGACGTAGGCCCCCCTTTTCTGAGATAGCTGGCTTCTCTTCCCATCTGTTCAAAAAATTTGTATATTTCTTTGCAATAAATATTTAATAAGATAATGCTAGCGAAGGTTTTCCAAAGAGCTGAATTAAAATAACAACTCTTAGGTTTTTAAACAAAGAAAAAGGAACTCTTAAAACCCAACCCCGTAAAAAACCCTTTATAAAAAAAAAAGGATCATAGGAATGTTTAAAGTAAGTTTTATTACTCCCCGTTTTGTTCCCCCCCCGGGGATTAAAACCCCAGTCCTTCGCTTGTGAGTACCCAGGAATGGTACTGTGCCAGTATGCTCCCCGGGAAAAGCAGTAACTGACCCGAAGTAATGACTCACCTTAAGAGGCATGGGAAGTTTCCCTCCCTTCCTCCGGGGTTTTATAATTTCGTAATAGAACCCGTCCTCTTTCATCCCCGAGACCTCGCCCTTGACCCGAGGCGTTGATCCCCATCCCCAAAAAGGGATTTAAGTGTTCGGGAAATACTTGGAGGCCATGTCCTCGTAGACAGGGTCTTGTTCGGCTACGTGGGGGCCATGTCCAGCATCACCACACAGAAAAGGCCACCCAAAGCTGGCCGTCTCCTGGTATTGTAAAAACAGAAACGTGTTGCTATTATCCCAGTTCCCTGGGTTGGGAATTTTTTAAATTTTTACACACACAACACACACACAACACACACACACACACACACACACCTAGTAGCGACCAGTGAAGAGGCGGGGCCAGGAGCTATAAAATCGATCCATATAACCACAATTAGGTGAGTACACACACGCACACCACCACCCACCACATTAACAAAAGCCCACAACACACCCCCATCATACATACTCACACTAAAAACCCTCGTACGCTCACACATTCTCTCTAAAATACCAAAGCTTCCAGACCAGTACCTTTTCTAATGACCCTCCACGGGAAAGGGGGCGCGACCTGTGAACACACCAATTTTGTCGGCCCCCAGGAACCCACCCCCAAAACAAGTTCCTGCCTTTGGGGACCCTTTTTCCCGTTACCCACCTAAAACCATAACGCCCTTTACAAAACAGAAATCATATCATAACAATCACAAATGTAAAAAAATTTTTAACAAATATAATGAGGAGAAAATGATGCGATTTGAACCTCGTAGAAACCCAAGCAGAGATGCATTGGGTGTCAGCTAGGCCTGTTTACCATTACATGTTTTGGAGTAAATATTTATTATTATTATTATTATTATTATTATTTTATTATTATTATTTTTGTTATTATTTAAATAAAAAGGGGATAGTTCAACTAATCGGGATTTGATTTTTGGCAACGTTTCGCTCTCCAGGGCTTTGTCGATTGTAAGTAAAAAAACTAAGTGCAGCTAATGTGACATTTGATTGTTCCAAAAAAAAACCCATTAGTTTTACTTGTTCCTTTTTCTTAACAATTGTGGGGAATTCTAAAAAAATTATTACATTGAAGTTAGAGAGACTAATCTTCGAGGGGGGTTTTTTATCAACTGGTTAGTGTTGATCTGTTTAGCATCTGAGTGTTAAATACTGGGTGGGAGCGGCCCCTCGTGAATCCATGATGGATGCCATGGATTGTACTAATTTGCATACAATTGGAATCATGATTGCTGGGCAGTAGTTTGACGGTAACGACTTGTCTCTCGCCTTAAAAATAGGAATTGCATTGGCTATCTTCCACATATCAGACACTACACCTGTTTGAAGAAATGTATTAAAAAGGTAGGAGTGGGTGGTTTTGGTAAGGACCTGCCTTGTATGGGCCGGTAGGCCTGCTGCAGTATAGTGTATAGGGTAGCAAAGGTAGTCGATGAGTGGAACAGTCTGCCTAGTAGGGTCATTGAAGCTAAAACCTTGGGTACCTTCAACTTCAGACTACATAAATACATGAGAGAGGATGGATTTGAGTACAATTTGCACACAAGTTAACAGGGTTGTCAAACTTATCCTTAAGTAGCACTGAAAACTGGCCGGGCAAATAATTTTGTTTAGTTGGTTTGATTTTGAGAAGAACCTGCCTAACATGGGATAATAGTCCTGTTGCAGTTTTCCTCCACGTAAGGCAGAAGCGAGACCTGAGGGGGACTTACCACGTGAAATTAAGAGAGAGCTTATGGAAAGCTCTAGCTAGGAACTTGTTGTCACGATGTCCCCACTCAGCGCTGCCTCGGTATACGTTCATGGTGGCCCAGGCGTGTACCGGCGGATTTACGTCGCCCAGTGCAAACTCGTACGCTGATGGACAGTGACCAGAAAAAAAAACAGTGAGTTTATGAAGATCAGAGAGTGACCAAGGGCAAGTAAAGGAACAGAATAAATTGTTAAGTCTGTGAAAGTGGAGAAAACTGACAAATTATATAGTGAAATCAGTAAAATATAAAGCTGAAATTGGCGATTTTGACTGATAAGAATATCTCAAATATTTCATTAACAAAGAAAATTCAGCTTCGATATTAACCCCTGAAGAATTTATATATACTGGACAGGAAAATATAGTAATGAAAAAGGAAAACACTAAATAAAAGCAGTTCAAGGGGACAATATTTATATTAAAAACAGGAAAACCTCGGATCACTTAGACTGTGAATGTGAAGCTGCATTAAGAAAGAAATGTTAAGGAGAAAAATAGGAAAATTAAACCTCTCTCGAGGTTTCTCTACAGTCTCCTCTCTCTAAGTTCTCTCTCACCTTCCTCTCTCCTCCTTCTCTCACCGATTCTTTCCTTTTTTTCATCTTCCTCGCCTCTCTCCCTGTCTCTCTGCTCTATAGTCCTTGTGGCTTAGCGCTTCTTTTTGATTATAATAATCTCCCTGTCTCTCCCCCTCTCTCATCCATCACAAAACCGTCTTAACACAAGTACAAACGAATCACGGAGCAAGTGGAGCTTTGATCTGCTTTGTACAGAAATATACTTAGATGAATTAATCTTATCAGATAAAAGTACACAAGTGCAACTAATGTGACGTTTATTGTGGCAACGTTTCGCTTTCCAGGAGGTTTATCAAGCCGCTCCTGGAGAGCGAAACGTTGCCACAATAAAATGCCACATTAGTTGCACTTGTGTCATTTCACCTAACATATTGTCGGTAATTCTACCAACATTAACTGGACCAACTAGACCAGTTGGCTCTTATTAGAGCCAACTGGTCCAGTGGTTAACGCACTGGCCTGTAAGTTTAACAACTCACTTGCCATGGGTTCAAACCCCCATGCATTACGTGTTTTATTTCATTATATATTTCTTCCCACACTGAGGCCACCAGTGGCCATTGTTGGAGGCTCCTGAATAATGCACTCACTGTACATAACACCAGATACCTAACTGACTCTATAATGCAGTATAATGTACCACATATTGAGAATATAGAATGGAAAAGTTATGTGTTCTCGTGTCAAGGAATAATATTCTCTTTGCGTGTAATTTTCATAATGATTTATGTTGGTAACAGCCGGAGAGAACCTCACTAAAACACACACACACACACACACACAACACACACACACACACACACACACACACACACACACCACCACACACACACACAGAGGTAACGAGCGAAGCGGGCCAGGAGCTATGAATCGACTCCTGCAAGTACAACTAGGTGAGTACAACTAGGCGAGTATACACACACACACACACGCACACACACACACGTTTAAGACTCTGTACACCATCTACGTCAGGCCCATACTGGAGTATGCAGCACCAGTTTGGAATCCACACCTAGTCAAGCACGTCAAGAAATTAGAGAAAGTGCAAAGGTTTGCAACAAGACTAGTCCCAGAGCTACGGGGATTGTCCTATGAAGAAAGGTTGAGGGAAATCGGCCTGACGACACTGGAGGACAGGAGGGTCAGGGGAGACATGATAACGACATATAAAATACTGCGCGGAATAGACGAGGTGGACAAAGACGGGATGTTCCAGAGATGGGACACAGACACAAGAGGTCACAATTGGAAGTTGAAGACTCAGATGAATCAAAGGGATGTTAGGAAGTATTTCTTCAGTCATAGAGTAGTCAGGCCGTGGAATAGTCTAGAAAGTGATGTGGTGGAGGCGGGAACCATACATAGTTTTAAGGCGAGGTATGATAGAGCTCATGGGGCAGGGAGAGAGAGGACCTAGTAGCAATCAGCGAAGAGGCGGGGCCAGGAGCTGTGAATCGACCCCTGCAATCACAAATAGGTGAGTACAAATAGGTGAGTACACACACACACACACACACACACACACACACACACACACACACACACACACACACACACACACACACACACACACATACACACACATACACACACACACACATACACACACACACATACACACACACACACGCACATTTTTTAATACATATAAAAATCACATAAAAAAATATATTGAATCAAAAGCAATCATTGTCTGTTAAATAAAAAAAAAATAATTTTAAGGAACATAATAACGAGAGATAAGGAATAAGGAGAGATGTGATAACACAGTGGGAAGAAGGGAAATGGAGAATAAACTCGACAAAATTTAGATATTAGTTTCCTTGTGATACCTTGTGCATACTTCCTGTGATTGTCTTCACATCTTCAGTGGTGATATTTATCGGCACTTGTGCCGCACTCTTTGTTATTCATTTTGCATGTTTTGAGGTAGAGGAGGCTGGGCTTACTGGACACGGGGGATACTTTTCTCGGATCCTTGAGGTAGACGGAGGGGATACCGTTTTCGAACTATTGTGGTAAGGGGGAGTTGAGCTTATAAAATATAGAAATACAGCTCTCTCAGATCATTGAAGTAGATAGGGTTAGGCCTATAGAATACAAGGATGCCTTTATTGGATCATGGCGTGACTGAAAAATATTTATTTATATTCCCAGTAACAATGAACATAACTTCAAAGAGTTCCCGGTGTTGACTTAAAACCAATTTACTGTATTGCAAAAATATTTGCTAAATTAAACCAATGCAATGTTGATATAACGAGATAAAATAGATATGGCGGGAAGGAAATGCTGAAAGAGTTTTAAATATGCCAGAAGCTCCCAGGCCATCTCGTATTTTTCATAGTGGGTTTAGGCTTGAGAAGAACCTGCCCAGAATGGGCCGGTAAGCCTGCTGTAGTGTTCCTGCTTTCTTATATTCCTATGCTTAATAGAGGATCCCAAAGGAGGGTCCAGATGTACAGAGTCATCAACCTCAGGTGTTTCTGTCACTTTAGTTATGTTCTGTTGTTCTCAGCAGCCGACCCCAGCAACTGGTCCAGGACCTACCTTAGCTTATTCCTTGGGTACCGTTGAAAATGGGATGGGTAAATATTCTGTTAGTGGAATGGATTTCTTCTTACGTTCTTACCTGGTATCTGACCGTTGGGGTGCATGTACCACTCTCTGAGGAAAAGCATCAGCTGTTCTTTTGCGAAGTGGCTGTCTACCATTGCCAAGGTCACGGTGTGGAAAGCCAGGTCCCAGGAAGCGTACTGCGGACGGAGCAAGTCGTTAGGTAGTCAGAAAGATATTATACTTACGGTGAAATCTTTATTATGAATCACGACGTTTGATGAAGCTCAGCCCTGGACGAAACGTTGGTAAATTAGACACATGTGCAACATTTGGGTATCTTTACTGAGGAAACGGGTAGTAGACGAGGGCATAGTCACTGGTAGGCGGGATTCCCCAGCGGAAGTAGGTCATACCCAAAGGGATGGGTAAGTTGTAGTAGCCGTGAACGTCATGTGACTATGCCATCGTCTGCTATCCGTCCCAATCCACTCATGTTAGTATATAAGCGCAAGTCTCCTTGCCTCACCAGAATCTTCACGACTACGGTGCTCTACACACCAACTCCAAGGCTGAGGGACTGATTACCTCATCTTTTGTATATAGTTCTATTGTCTTCAAATTATGTCCTAGAATCTGTATTGATAAAGCCACTGGTTGACGAAACGTCTACAGTAAAGATACCCAGATGTTGCACATGTGTCTCAGTTTTCATATTGTCGGTATTGTATACCATTCTTGTACAATAAGATTCATTCAACTAGGTATATTTATTACTAGTACACAGGAGTTGCTCCCTGGGCAGGAGGGTAGTCACTCACCCAGGGGTACTCCCACTTGTCAGGCATGGAGATCACGTCTCTGTTGTACAGGTGGAACCACTCACTGTTTCTCCCTGTCCGTCGTGATGCTGGTGGAGGCGGCTGGTATCTGAGGGAGGGGAAGTGGACATAAATCTCAGTAAAAGTGTTTTAGGCCAATTAAGCAAAATTCTTTGAAGGTAGCTGAATGAGACACACTTCTGTGCAACACTTTGGAAGCCCAGGTGTTACGCAAGTGTCTCATTTATGACCTTGTCAGTTTTCTGAAGCATTTATATTCATTCTTTCAAGGTCCTCCTGATTTATTTACCGAAGTCACTGTAGTGTAGAGTTGGATACATGGGAGTACATGAAAAGGAAAATAACATTTTTTGGTCACAATGTTGAATCTAGAGGCTAAAGAACTTATCGTATTTCTACTCATCTCAAAGTTCATATCTAAGGTATACTATCATCCCTGGCCCCATGATGCCGCCTTGAAAAGTCGGCTGACACCCAGGAATTTATTTACTTTCAGGTAAACATGGGTCATGATTGTACAGAACGCTTCCCAACAACAGGATTGATCCTGTGTTCCTTGGTTGTGAGCTGATGCATTACCTAGTATGGGCCAGTAGGCCTGCTGAAGTGTTCATCCTTTCATATGTTATTATTTCATAATTCCTACTGGTTGACTTACCGGTCACCTCCGAGCCAATCCTTGACGATGTAGTGGTAGAATTGTTTAGTCCAGAGGAGCCCAGCCAGCGCCTGTCTGGCCACCAGCTTCTCCTCACAACCTAGCCTAGCATTCAACACCTGTAAATAAAGCATCTGGGAATAAATGGTATAAGATACCGACTCAATGGAAATATAAACACATAAGCAATAAAATGTGATTATTTATTGACAACGTTTCGCCCACACAGTGGGCTTTATCAAGTCATAAATATTGATAAATTAGACACATGTGCAACTCTTGGGTATCTTTATTGAGGAAACGTTTCGCCACACAGTGGCTTCATCAGTCCATACGTAGGAGAAACTTGAAGAACAGGAGGAGAATGAGGTAATCAGTCCCTCAACCTTGAGTCGATGTGTTCAGTCCATTCTACTCAAGATTGATGGACTGAACACATCGACTCAAGGTTGAGGGACTGATTACCTCATTCTCCTCCTGTTCTTCAAGTTTCTCCTACGTATGGACTGATGAAGCCACTGTGTGGCGAAACGTTTCCTCAATAAAGATACCCAAGAGTTGCACATGTGTCTAATTTATCAACATGTCGGTTCTCTGAACCATTCATCTACAAGTCATAAATATGATGAAGCCCACTGGGTGGGCGAAACGTTGTCAATAAAGGATCACATTATGCTGCTTATGTGTTTATATTTCCAAATAAAGTATCTCATCCTTAACTTGCTATATATTTACCCGGTGTTTACGCTTAAATTGTGATGTTTAAACATATTTGTGTTTGCCAAGATTCATACTGTTCTAACCTTGGCCTGATAAGCCGAACTCGTTTAAAAATTCGACTTTTCAAAAAAAAATAATCTTTCCATTGGAAAATACACTTTTTTTTCATTGGGAATGATATAAAATGTTTTATTCTTGAAATAAACCTAACTTATAACACCTAACCGATCTTAAACTAGCATAACTAGTTTAACTGAGGAATAATATTCAATGTCTTATTAGAGTGACGATTTATGAAAGCGTATCACACACTACCGAATCTTGTATTAAACGCACCCGCTTGTAGAAAATGTCGGCTTCCTGCTTTCTCTGTTGCATGATAGTGGTGAAGGCTTCACCGAAGACCTGCCCCTTCTGTGAGTGAGGATTGGAGACCTGCCCCTCGTGTTGAAAGGGACTAGGTACGGGAGGCAGCCCTGGGGGTTCGTCTTGTTGCCACAGACGAGACCTGACAGTGGCGGAGGCTCCGGGTAGCAGAGTGATCACGTAGTGTGCACACACCTTAGTGCCTCTCTGCCTTGGGTTTACAGCGGTTTTCTCATCTGTAGGAAAATCCATTGTAATTCACATTCTATCTGGACTCGCACTGGACTTGATTAGCGTCCAGGATGAACCGAAACATCTAATTTCCACTTCAAATTCAGTGAGAAATTGTGGTTCCACTATCTTATCCTAACTATAAAACGCTTCTCAGCATATAGCATCGATGTAATTCTTAAGATTGCTATTTTCCTTCATCACGGTCCAGTGGATGGAGTATGAAATGGCAGTTGTTAGACTGCTTGTTCAAGTACCTCCCAATCCTTGAGAAAAAAAAAAAGCGTACATCGTTTACTAAGATTTTTTTGAAGTAAAGGCTTGGCTACCATCAGAGACGTTCAAATGTATACAGTTGCGTGTGGTGTCACAAGATGAGGCGTCCGCCATACTGCAGGTCAAGCGAGTGCCTGTGATGTGTGTTTGAGTCTCTCAAGTTTCAAGTTTCAAGTCTGAAGTGCCTTAGACTTGTGTGGAACTAAAAAATTTCATGCGGGCTGCATTCCTCAGTCAAGACGTGCAGTGCGGGTTATGGTATTTAAATGTGAAGACGTATCGCGCACTAGGGAATTCGTCGATTCAATTGATAAACTCCTGGGTGGGCGATACGTCTTCGCAATAAAATGTCATAACCTTACCACCACCCACAGATCATCCCATGCACCTTTCGCTACCCACAAACCATCCTATACACCTTTCTCCCACCCACAAACCATCCCATGCACCTTCCCACTGCTCACAGAGTTTCATACACCTTCCCCCCACACACAGACCATCCCATGCACCTTCCCACCACCCACACACTACTAACAAACCATACCACGGGCGGGGCTTGCAATCGCGTCATTACGGTCTCGTGAGTTACTACTGACAACATCGTCCAGACTCACCGCTAACAACGTAGCGGTGGAAAGCGTCCTTCACATACGGGGTGTAGTTATCCACACCGAAGAGCTTTTGTGTATTGGTCTCGTTCTCGGTGAAGAGGAGAGAAGCCTTGGTCGAACTCTGAAGAAAAAAACAACTGTTCACCACTCTGACTTTCTGGTTAAGGCAGTTTGTCATACTTACCTGCTAGGTCATATTAGGTCACAATACAGTAATAAATGCATGCTCACCACATATACACTGGCTAGACACGTGTAATACATGAGTGGGATTGGATTGGATTTGAATGGGACTTGTATATGAGGTAATATGGTTATCAAAGCTAATATATTCCTTGGGTAGCATTGAAAATGGGCTGGGCAATTATTTTTGTTAATGGGTCTGGGCTTGAGAAAGATCTGTCAAGTACGGGCCAGTAGGCCTGCTGCAGTGTTCCTTCTTTATGTTCTTATTCACCACGTACCTGGTCAACCGCCCACGTGTACTCTCCGAGAGACTCATGCCGCCCACGTACCAAGCTGACGCCGCCCTCGCCGCCCTCGCCGCCCACGCCTACAGCTTCCAACTTAGGTTTAAGCCCACAGCCCTCGTGGGTGCAGCCCCACACCCATGTATTGCGGTACCTGCCACAGATACACACAAGAACATTAGAATGGAGGAACACTGCAGAAGGTCTACTGGCCCATTCAAGGCAAATCGCCCATACAAGCCAAGGTTGTATTAAAGTCTTTAAAGGTCCTAAACACATTCGTAATCGCTGACCCACAAGATAGATTTGTAGATAAAAAAAAATTGTATCGCATGTATTGTGTATAGATTTCAACCTAATAAACTGGATTTAGTAGTTTTTTAAATCAGAAATTTTTAGTAACCTTAATTTTTTCGTCTAACCTTGTTGCTGGGCTCATTGTTCTTGTTGGTTTAGCGCTTCCCTCTAAACAATAATAATAGAGTATTTATTATTTTATTTTTATTATTATTATTAGTAGTAGTAGTATTGATGATAAATTAGACACATGTGCAACTCTTGGGTATCTTTATTGAGGAAACGTTTCGCCACACAGTGGCTTCATCAGTCCATACACAGGAGAAAAGAGTAAGACACATGTGCAACATCTGGGTATCTTTATTGTAGACGTTTCGCCAACCAGTGGCTTTATCAATACAAATTCTAGGACATAACTTGAAGACAGTAGAACTATGTACAGAAGGTGGTCAGTCGTCACGTGAGGTCACAGACCCTGAGCTGCTTGGGGATTAGCGTGGACGGTTACAAAGCATGGCTTGCTTCTACAGTGTTTTAAAAGCTGAGGTTGGAGAGTTGAAGGAGGAGGTCTTGCTTCTCCAGGAGGAGATTAGGAGGCTGAAGGTCCACCTCAATGGGCCTGGGAGAGAGTGTGAGGTGGTTGGAGATGTGGGGAATGAGGCTTCTAGCAGTGAGGTGCAGTCTGTCTCTCACTGTGAGGAGGCTGTAGGTGGGGTGGTAGCAACGGCTACCAGCAGTGAGGTGCAGCCCAGCACCTGCTACAAGTGGCGAGTTGTTCACAGTAATGGGAGGCGCATCAGAGTAAGGAAAGTTAAGAGTGAAGATCTGAAGGTAGGAAATCGCTTCTCTGTTCTCCAGGATGAATGTACTTCAGTGGCCAGTGAAGGTAAGGGTACTACTGCCCCTGCTAATGAAGGTAAGCGCATTCTTGTGGTTGGTGACTCTCAGGTAAGATATGTTGATCGTGCTTTTTGTAATAGGAATAAGAAGATGAGAGATAGAGTGTGCTTCCCTGGAGCTGGTGTTGGGGACATTGTCAACAGACTGGATAATATCATGTCAGGTAATGGGAACAAGCCCATTATCTGTCTCAGTGCTGGTGGAAATGATATTGGGAAGGGTAGGAGAGAAGAGCTGCTAGATAAGTACAGGTCAGCTATAGATTTCATTAAGTCTAAGGAGGGATCCCAATCATATGTGCATCTTGCCTAGAAGGGAGTAGGAAATGAATTGTTGTCTAGGGCAATTGGTGTAAATTGCTGGCTAGGACAGATACTGCAAGGAACTTGCAATCCCATTCATTGACAACTGGAACAACTTTTATGGCAAACATATATGTATGCAAGGATGGGGTTCATCTCTCTGGGGCAGGGGTGGTAGCACTTGCAGACTCGATTGAGAAGGCCATTGGTGAAATGCCTATGATTTTAAACTGATGGAAGATAGAGGTATGGGTGTGTGTGGGAAACAAGCAGGTTGCAACACTAGGGTTGGAAACAGTAAATGTATAAAAGGCATTCAGCATGAAGTTATAAATAAAGACAATAGAACAGGTCAGCAAACAAAGGGGGACAGCAGAGGGCAGCAAGGGACTAGCTCCCTTAAGGTTTACTATACTAATAGCAGGAGTGTTAGAAATAAGATAGATGAGCTAAGATTATTGCAAGTGCAGGAAACATAGATATTATTGCTATAACAGAGACCTGGCTCAATCTGAAAGATAGAGAGATGCCCTCTGAATGTCACATACAAGGCTATAAATTATTCCACACTGACAGGGTCAACAGGAAAGGTGGTGGAGTAGCGATGTATGTCAGAGACAATTTAAATTGTTGTGTTAGACAAGATATTAATTAGAAGCGTCAGCCACTGAATCTGTTTGGTTACAGCTTCTCGAGGGCCGAGAAAAACTAATTTTGGGTGTGATTTACAGGGCCCCAAATCTGATAGGGAGTGCAGTAAACTTCTATGGGACGAAATTCGTAAGGCATCTACATACGAAAATGTTGTGCTAATGGGAGATTTCAACTATAGACAGATTGACTGGAGCAATTTGACAGGAAATTTAGAGTCGGGTGACTTTCTTGATACGATCCAGGATTGTTTTTTAAAACAGTTTGTGACAGAGCCAACTAGGGGAAATAACCTCCTTGACTTGGTTCTTGCCAGTAGGGAAACACTAATTAATAATCTTGAGGTTAATGATGAGCTTGGGGGGGAGTGATCACAAATCACTCAGTTTTTAACATATCATGGAATTCCCCTAATAATGGCAATCAAGTCTCCGTCCCTGACTTTCGCTTGGCTGATTTCATGGGACTAAAAAATTATTAGGGGGTGAACTGAATGACCTGACTAGGGGTCAGGAGGGTGGTATGGTTGCCGATATGATGCTTTCCGGGGCTAGTTTTAGCTGCTGCAAATTATTTTTCCAAAATGGGAAATCAGATCAAACAAAAATTCCTAAAGGATGAACAATAGATTAAAATATTGATTGGCAAAAGAGAGGCATATATAGGCAAACAAAAGGGAAGGGGCTTTTAAAAAATCGATATTTCTTTAAAGAGAAAATTTTAAAAAAGGGAATTAGAAAAGCAAATAGAGATTATGAGGTTAAATTTTGCAAGAGAATCGAAGAATAACCCAAAAGGATTCTTTCAGGAACAGAAGTAAAACAGGGACAAGATGGCCCACTCAAAAATTTCCCCGGGTCAGCTCACTGACAGTGATAAGGAAATGTGTAGAAATTTTTTAAAACATACTTTCCCCCAGTTTTACACAGGGAGGGTACCAGCGAAATTCCCGTAAGATAAATTTTGTAAAAGGACGAAATAAACTGTGCCTATTGGGTCACAAGTGACATGGCCCTTTGGCAAATAGATAAATTAAAACCTAACAAATCCCACCCTGTAATTATAAAGGGTAAAAGGAAAAAAAGGGATTAAAAACCTTTTGGCTAATTTTTAAACTAAAAAAACCTCCCCGGTGAGATAATGGAAAAGGAAATGTAAAATTTTTTTAAAAAAGGTCTCCTATTTCAAATTTCCCCATGGCAAAAAGGGGAAAAAAAAATTTTAAAAATAACCAGGCAGTTCTAGCCACCTTAAAACATAAAAAATCAAGGGAAATTTTTTTTTAAAGGGGGGCTTTCCCTTAAACTTTTTTAATAAAATTTAGGGGGGGGGAAAAAAAGGGTTGGATAGAAATAATTTTTAAGGGTTTTGGGTTTTAAAGGGAAAAAATGGAAAAATTTTTAGGTAAAGGGGGATTTAAAAAAAAGGGCAAGGTTGAAAAATGGGGAAGGTGAAAAGGGGAAAAAATGGGGGGGGGGGGGGGGTGGGGGCGGTGTTCCCGGGGCAGTTGGGGGCCCCCTGCTGTTCACAATCTACATAAACGACATAGATGGGGGTAAAGGGAAGGAAGTTTCCGATGCCCCAAAAGGCGTCGAATTCATTCTGACGAGGACATTTGACACTCCGGGAAAATTTTAATAGACGATCAGTGGTCGGAGAAGTGGGAGATGCAGTTTAATATAGACAAAAGCAAGTTTTTAAATGTTGGACAGGGCAATAAACCCTGCCACAATAAACTAAATAATTAGATCTTAATATTACGGATTGCGAAAAAGATTTAGGAGTTCTGGTTAGCAGTAATCTGAAACCAAGACAACAGTGCATAAGTGTTCGCAATAAAGCTAATAGAATCCTTGGCTTCATATCAAGAAGCATAAATAATAGGAGTCCTCAGGTTGTTCTTCAACTCTATACATCCTTGGTTAGGCCTCATTTAGATTATGCTGCACAGTTTTGGTCACCGTATTACAGAATGGATATAAATTCTCTGGAAAATGTACAAAGGAGGATGACAAAGATGACCCCCATGTATCAGAAACCTTCCCTATGAGGATAGACTAAGGGCCCTGAAACTGCACTCTCTAGAAAGACGTAGAATTAGGGGGATATGATTGAGGTTTATAAGTGGAAGACAGGAATAAATAAAGGGGATGTAAATAGTGTGCTGAAAATATCTAGCCTAGCAGGACTCGCAGCAATGGTTTTAAGTTGGAAAAATTCAGATTCAGGAGGGATATAGGAAAGTACTGGTTTGGTAATAGAGTTGTGGATGAGTGGAACAAACTCCCAAGTACCGTTATAGAGGCCAGAACGTTGTGTAGCTTTAAAAATAGGTTGGATAAATACATGAGTAGATGTGGGTGGGTGTGAGTTGGACTGATAGCTTGTGCTAACAGGTCGGTTGCCGTGTTCCTCCCTTAAGTCAATGTGACCTGACCTGACTAGGTTGGGTGCATTGGCTTAAGCCGGTAGGGACTTGGACCTGCCTCGCATGGGCCAGTAGGCCTTCTGCAGTGTTCCTTCGTTCTTATGTTCTTATGTTCTTAATCAGTCCCTCAACCTAGGAGTAGGTGCGAACAGCACCATAGTCGTGGTGCTGTTCGCACCTACTCCTAGGTTGAGGGACTGATTACCTCATCTTCTGTACATAGTTCTACTGTCTTCAAGTTATGTCCTAGAATTTGTATTGATAAAGCCACTGGTTGGCGAAACGTCTACAATAAAGATACCCAGATGTTGCACATGTGTCTTACTCTCATCTTGTCGGTATTATATACCATTCGTACACACACAGGAGAAACTTGAAGAACAGGAGGAGAATGAGGTAATCAGTCCCTCAACCTTGAGTCGATGTGTTCAGTCCATCAATCTTGAGTAGAATACGGCAGATGAGCGGAGAAGCAGCTTATAAACCGTATGGCAGGAGAGGTGTAGCAGTCATAGGTGGTGTCACATTTGTTCAATGTGGAAGTAGGTCGTGCCCAAGAATTAGGCAAGCGAAGAA